TTCACATGTGGTGGTTTGAATGAGAATGGTCTCCATAATCTCATGTATTTGAGTACTTGGTCCCCAGCTGGTGGAACTGTTTAGGAAGGATTTGGAGGTGTGGTCTTGGAGGTGTGTCAGTAGGCTTTGTGGTTTCAAAGGATTTGTAACAGTCTCATGTCTGTCTTGTGGTTGTGTTTACGATTTGAGTTCTCAGCTATTCCTTCATTCCACCATCATGGACTCTAACCCTCTGAAACTGTAAATCAAATTAAATGCTTTCTTTATAAGCTGTCATGGTATTTTGTCATAGGAATAGAAAAATAATGAAGAAACCACGTCTTTTTTTTTTTTTTTCCTCTTAACATAGGGTTTCTCTTTGTAACTCAATTTGTAGACCAGGCTGGTCTTGAACTCAGAGATCCGCCTACCTCTGCCTCCTTAGTGCTGGGATTAAAGGCATGTGTCGCCACACTCAGTCACTTATCTTTTAATTGGGTTTTTCATCAAGAATTAGGCCATATCTGCCAAATGTAGTGGCACACATCTTTAATTCTTGCACTAGAGGTAGGAAGATCTCTGCTGCATTCTAGGACAGGCAGGGAGGGCTATTACACAGAGAAACCCTGTCTTGGGGGCTGGGCGAGGGGTGGTGTGTGTGTGTGTGTGTGTGTGTGTGTGTGTGTGTGTGTGTGTGCTCACGCACAGAATTAGGCCATATGACTGAGGCTGTTGTTCAGTAGTCCAGTGCTTGCCTAGCATGCATGGGACCCTGGGTTCAATCATCAGCACCAAGCAAACATGGTGTGGTTGGTGCTAAGCCTCTAATCCCAGTGGAAGTAGAATCCTAGGAGGTAGAAACAGGGGGAACAGGAATTCAAGATTATCTTCAGCTATACCTTGAGTTCAAGGCCAGCCTAGGATACTTGAGACCTAATCTCAAAAAAAGGGGGGGTTTCCCCCATAGTTTATATTTTCAACTGATATGACTAGCTCAAGCTTCTGCTATTGTGACTTCTCTGCTATGATGAATTGTGGACAAATAACCCCCTCTTCTCCTAGCCTCTTCTTTTTTTGGAGGGGGGCGTTTAGACAGGGCTTCTCTATAGCTTTGGAGCCTGTCCTGGAACTAATCTGTAGACCAGGCTGGCCTTAAACTCACAGAGATCCGCCTGATTCTGCCTCCCGAGCTTGAATTAAAGGCGTGCGCCACCACCGCCTGGCTCCTAAGCCTCTTTTTGTCGGAGTATTTTTTCACAGCAACAGAAATAAAACTCAGGCAGAAATTGGTACCAGAAGGAGGGGTCATTGCTGTGAAAGGAATGGGGGCTATATCAGGAACTGGGTTAGAGGGTGCATTTGTGTGCTATTCTGGCCAAGAATCTGGCTGCATTCTGCCTGTGTCTTGAAAATCTGAGTAAAGTTCAATTGAGAGAGAGATAATAAACTAGTTTGTTGGCCATTCAGGCCCGTAGAGATCAGCACCACCCAAGTAAAGTATCGGTGCTACACTGGAACAAAAGGAAGTATACCCTGAGGTCAAGGCCTCACTCTGGATGTCGTGGAGATACTAAGCTAAAAAATGGGTTTTCAGCCGGGCAGTGGTGGCGCACGCCTTTAATCCCAGCACTCGGATGGCAGAGCCAGGAGGATCTTTGCAAGTTTGAGTCCAGTCTGGTTTACAAAGTGAGATCCAGGACAGGTTCCAAAGCTACACAGAGAAATCCTGTCTCAGGAAATAAATAAATAAATAAATAAATAAATAAATAAATAAATAAATAAATAAATAAATAAATAAATACACATGAGAAGAAGAATGGGGTTTCCCTGTTCTTCATAAGCAACTACACAGGACAGTGTTCCCTCCTGTCCACACACAGAAGCGGATAGAGCTGTGGCTCAAGAGGGGCTGGGCCACACCTCCAGCTGGCAGCAGAATCTGGCAATGTCATCAGCATTGCCCATGTGACACTGATCTTCAAAGCAGGAAAGATGGAAGACCGAGGATGTCACGGAGAACTGCCGGGGTGGGGCACCGCGTGGCCCGACTGGAAGCAGCTCTAAGAAGCTCTCCGGAAGATGTGAAAGTGAAGGTCAGTCTGGGTAAGGATTGGGACCCTGGGACCTCTGACTACCAAGAGTTGTAGATGTGGAGCAGAACTGACCTAAGCCTCAGAGAAGCTGTGTGTACTTCCAGTAGCAGGGATGGAGGAATGGGACTGCCCAAACCTTCCGGAGCCCAAAGATCGTATTGTGAGCCCCAGGTGCTCACATAGCTGCTGCTGGGTTTTGGTTTTGCTTTGGTGTGATCCTTTTCGTTCTCTGTACTTCCCTTTTGAAATGAGAATGTTTAGTCTATGCTAGTATATTTTGGAAGCACGTAACTTTTGGTTTGTTTTTTTTTTAGGAATGAGCTCATAGTTAAGAGATTGTATTTTTAAAGTATTATAATTTTTTAAGCTATGGAGATTTTAAAAATTGGACTGTATTTTACATTATGAGAGAAGCATGAGACTTTGGGGACAAGGTGTGAAGCTGTGTTGTGATCTTTAGTTTTTTTTTTTTTGGTTTTTCGAGACAGGATTTCTCTGTGTAGCTTTGCGCCTTTCCTGGAACTCACAGAGATCCGCCTGGCTCTGCCTCCCGAGTGCTGGGATTAAAGGCGTGCGCCACCACCGCCCGGCGTGATCTTTAGTTTTAACAGTCAACATGACATAGTGTAGACTCATTTGGGAAGAGTCTCAATGAGGAATCGTTTAGATCAGGTTGGCTTCATGGACATGTATGTAGGGAAGTGCCCATTGTGGGTGGCACCATCCCTTGGGTCTAGGTCCTGGACTCTGTTAAGTGTGGAGAGGGATACTGAGCGTAAGTAAGCATGTATGCATTCATTCTCTCTGTTCTTGACTATGGGTATGACTACCTGCTTGCTCCTGTTTAGACTCCCCCTTGGTGCCATACTGTAGCTTGGAATTTTAAGTCAAATAAACCCTTTCTTCCTTAAAGGTGCTTTGACCAGAGTATTTTTACCACCACAACAGAAATGCATCTAAAACATCATCTAAGTACATTATTCTTTACATTAGTTAGCATTGTTTTGGTTGAGACTGGGTTTCATGTATCCAAGGCTGGTCTTGAACTTGCTACATTGCAGAGGATAACCTTGAAGTCCTAATCTTCCTACCCCCACCTCCGGAGTGCTGACATCATAGGTATGTGCTACCATACTGGGTTGTTGTTATGAGGCGGGGTCTTGCTATGGACCCCAGTTTCCTTTAACCTGTGTAGCCAACACTATCACTATTTTGTAGTAGTCCTGCTTCACTCTCCAGAGTGCTGAGATATGGGCCTGAACCACCAACACCCATCAAGAAAAGCTTTCAATTACTATTCTTTTGTTTTTGTTTTTTGAGACAGGCTTTCTCTGTGTAGCTTTGGAGCCTTTCCTCCAAGAACTCGCTCTGTAGCCCAGGCTGGCCTCGAACTCACAGAAATCCACCTGCCTCTGCCTCTGGAGTGATTGCTGGAATTAAAGGTGTGTGCCACCACCACCCAGCTCGTCAATTACTATTCTTAAATAAAATGGGTCATTTGTGGTTTTCAGGGGGAAAAAAAAGAACATTTATTTAAAATAGTTCATCATTGAAGGGGAGTAGAGGTTGGACTTGATCAAAGTACATGCACGTATGAAATTCTCAAAGATTAAATTAAGAGCACAATATAATGATATACATTCATAATCCCAGCAACTGGAGAGGCTGACAAAACCAAAGTGCCACCCTCAACCCTCAGTAACACACACTAAATTACCACAAGACCCAACACTTACACTTCCGGTTACACATATCTGATGATAATAATAATATAAAAAGAAAAAACCATGTCCATGCAAACACTTGTGCACAAACGTTCATAGTAATAATCAGGAGCTCACTGAGGAATTAACACAAATGTCCCTCAGACACTGTGAGGCTACCTACACACACACACACACACACACACACACACACACACACACACACACACAAAGACACACACACACACACGTACGTCTCATTAAAATGTTAAGGTGCGTGACAAGGAGGTTAATAAAAACTGAATAGAACCAATTTGGCCCTTGTTCTCACATCATTGAAAATGCAACGATGGAGACATTTAAAAGCAG